TTTTTGGTGCTTTGACTTGATCGTATTGGCGGTTTATTACACGCCTTTCTACCCTTAGGTAGTCTGGGAACTATTGGGTCCCACATAGCATATTTTTTAAGAACGAAGATTCCTGCAGCGTTTTGAATCCGCTGAAGTTTCTTTTGCAAATACTGTGGGAGTGGATAACAAACTACGTCGTTATAGTCAAGTTTAGAAACAACTAAGCTTTCAACAAGTTGCTTCCTTACGTTAAGTGGAGCTAAGTTATTTAATTTCCGTCGAGGGGGGCAAGGGGGGTCTCGTCACGAAATTACGAAGATCATTTTTAGATTTCACGAGTCACGAAAAACAAAATTTCATTTTCACGAATTTTAGAAACACAGAAGCGTAACAAAGTCTGAAATCATTTAACGATTTTCTAGACAGCAGAAATCGTTGTTATCACAAACACTTTTTACTGACTTTAATATTAGAACTTTTAAAAGGACTATGGAAATCATTGCGAGGCATTACGAAACATTACGAGCGTCTTACGATGGTTCACGACGTCTACGAAGAGGTACGAAGGTATAAGACAACAACGTTTACAATGAAACCTCGAGAAAGACAACCGCGGGAAACAAATTTTTCATTTTTTAAACCTTAATATTAAAATAAGGCCGAGTTTTAAACGTATTCATTCACAAGTTAGGGCAAAATATTGATAAATTAAAGACCCTGGCTAGCCCTTTCAGCTCTTCACGATTCACGGCACGCATATTAATCACGATACACGGATTGGTATCTCTTCAAATCACGAAGCATGTATAATTGCTAATCACGTGTCACGAAAATACTCTCCCCCCCCCCCCCAAAGCTTGGAAAATCGTTTCACATAACAAATTGTACAACTTTTTCAACGTAAACATTGATAAGAATTGTTATTATATAGTTAGTGTCAAAGTTCAATTTTTCTGTTCGCCGATTGGTCAAAACCGTGTCACGTGCCGGTTTACAAAACGTCATGTTCGGCAACCGGTCCGCAATGAAACATTTATTGAGCGGTCAATAATAAAATGGGTGCAATACGCATGCGTGTCAACCATGAAGTTCCAAAGCTCATTTTTAAACTTTTTACTAAACATTTACGCGTTCCATTTATCCAGTTTTGGTATCAAATTAAGTTCGCTCCAACAACCGGTGAATTATTCATATTTTGACACTTATATCCTACATAACGAAACACTTATTTACTGAGATCTCGGGAAAGCAATGTGTTTTGTGGCCCCTCGACCGCCGTGTTACCCTCGGCTTCGCCTCGGGCAACAACGGCGGTCTCGGGTCCACAAAACACACTGTTTCCCTCGGTCTCAGTAAATAAGTGATAAATATTGTATGATAAGTCCTAAAGTATAGGGCAAGTTTGTCTCAATTGTTATGTATGACTTTGTATTTAATAATGTAGACTTTGTTGTTGATGTTCAAGTCTTTCCTATGCATTGTTTGCGAAAGTTTCTTATTTAAATTAACTTGTGTAGAAGTACATGGTAAAAAGGAAAGCAAAGTTTTTTCATTAGCGTCCTGTACGAATTAAATTTGTTTCATTTCAAAGTGCGAGTAACAAGTTGAAGCTCGAGTTGAGAAGTTTATAAATATCGGCAAAAAGCAGTTAATTTCAATTCACATTTAAAAACTTTTACGTAGAGTTTCGTTTTGAATTTTACATTAAAATAAAGCCCATAGAAACGAAAATATTATACCTACTTTATATATTTAGGAAATTGATAGTTCTGTATTTAAAAGTGTTCAAATTTCATCTATTCTTTCCCGGTTTGTACAAAAAATTAAAAAACAATTATCGTGTTGCCATGACTAACATGACGTGCAACGCGAGCTTGCGTTCAGTGTTGGCGTATAGTTACGAAAACTTCATCTTGAAACAATGTTTGGAAAATATAGGCGAGGGGTTGTTGCATGCATGTATTTCTAGTTAATAAGTAATAGCATGGTTTCTCGTTTGGATTAACATGCGCTCGTGAGTTTTTCAAAGACCTCAAAATTTTAATAGTATACTCGTCCTTCGCATTCGTGCTATTTTGAGGTCTTTGAAAAACTCACTCGGCCATGTTATATCCAAATTGCACTCAAAACCATGCTATTACCTATACTTACATACTGTACATGTACTCAACAAATCCCTGAGATATTTCTCACAAACGCGAGTAACATACAGGGGTGCAGCGCAAAAACACATGGGATTGTAAATTTGAAGTTTGTTCATTGCTCAAATATCTCAAAATTGGGTAGACAAACGCAAACCAGTTTCAATGTCAAGCACGTCCACTAAACTATACTAGAAAATACATGCATGCAGAAACCCTCGCCTTCCTGACAAAACTATTGTATTTTCCGAACGTGAAGTTCTAAACTAGTTGTCATGGTAACACGATAATTCTTTAAAAATATTCTTACAAATGAAAAATCGCTAAAAATATCACTTTTAATTACAAAATTATTAATTTCCCAACATATATATGTTAGGTATGTTATTATACGTAATATAATCCTCAATATATGGTAAAATTCAACCACAAACGCTTCGCAAAACGTTTTAAAGTGCTGTTTAACTAAACTGCCTTTAACTAAATGGCTTTATCGAGAAACTTTGAGTTGCAATAAAATGATTTCAAATTCTCGCTTGCAAATAACTTTGCTTTCTTTTTTATTTAAATAATTTAATATAATAAAAAAATGAATCAATATTAAAGATACACTGAGCGAAATTATATTCTGTCTTGTTTAGTTGTTTCATATACGCAAAGGCCGTCGCTCGGGCCGTCGGGTTTTAAAGCCATTATAAAATCAATATTTAAAACAAACTTATACCTTCGTTAACGTCGGCTCCCTTCTTTTAGCCGATTCTTTCGAAGCTTCTTTCTGAGAGAGCTTTTGAAATTTACAAAATATTGCAAATATGCGAGTAAAAATGAAATATATTCGCAAGAAATTTATCAATCATGAATCATCAAATCTAGAAATGTTTGCTATTTCGCTGTCGTCATGCAGTCGTTATAATGCAAACTTTAAATTGGACCAATCAGTGTCCGCTATTCATGACAGTCCGCCATATTTTTGAGGTCAGTGAGGATGACCACCCACCCAACACCGTTGGTGACCCACGCGCGCGATATTTGATGAACTTTAGACTCCGCTAATGCTTTCGTTTCCCCGGGTGTAATCGGCTCGGGGATAATAATAATCGACAATCTCAAGAGGCAAGAGCATCCATTATCTAGTTCAAATTTCGACATTTACCACTCCATCTGCCTTCTAGAGTATTCCGTTTTCCAAAAGTACTAGAAATACATACATGCAACAACCCCTCGCCTATATTACATACATACATACATAATTTATTGTGTTCCTCAAAGAGGCTTTTCAACACTAATTTACATGGAATAGTGATTGAAAAACAAGGTTAAGATTACATATATAAAAATTTACTAGGAAAAATCTTCTATTATTAAAATAGTCCATTACTAAGATTACAGTCTGTCTAACATGTCTTTCTTTAATTTATTCTTAAAACTTCTCAAAGATAGCATTTGTTTAGTGTTATTGTCCAGATGATTCCATAGTTTCGCCCCTCTATAATGAAATGTTCTCTGGCCAGTGGTGGTATTATAAATCGGTATTTGGAGGAGCTCGCAGTTACGAGTGTTACATTCATGTATATTTGATCGTTTACTAAATTTATTGCACAAGTAAGGTGGAGCTAGATTGTTAATACACTTGTACATCAAAACTGTATCTCTAAAAAGTAAGTGTTCCTTAACTGGAAGCCAATTCAGTTCTTGCAGTTTTGGTGAGATATGATCGAACTTCTTCTTGTTTGTCATGATCCTACACGCGAAGTTTTGTACCAGTTGTAGCTTGTTAATATTTTTGGCCGAAGTGTTCGACCAAGCATGAGGAGCAATAAAGAAGTTTATTTATTACCAATGCTGATACCAAGAGGAACATAGTTTCTTTATCAAAACATTTGCTTACTCGGTTGATCTGTGACAATTTGGGCATGCAAGAGGAGACTAATTCGGTGGTATGGCAATCGTATGACATGTTGGTGTCTTTTATTAATCCTAAATTCTTGGCTGAAGGAACTGGCCTGATAGTTTCGCTTAGAAAATTTAGGCACATATCTGTAGAGAGATTTTGTAACTGTTGTCGCGTTCCGATAAGTAAATACTTGGTTTTTTCCGGGTTAAGAGTAGATGAAGTTCAAAGCAGCACGTTGCTAAACTCGGCTGAGATCTTCCTGAAGGTACTCTTTTGTGTCAGTTGCGTCTTTAACACGATATGACAAGAACATCTTTGAATCATCAACATATTAATTAAGGGCGCTGTGATGTGGGGCCAGTGGTAACTCGTTTACATAGATGCTAAACAAGAGTGGAGATAAAATAGCACCCTGTGGAACCCCGTAGTGATGTCAGAGATGACGAAACAGACGTTCCAATACTGACAAATTGTGATGTGCCCGTTATTAGTACAGGTAGCTTTCGAACCAGTGTGAAGTGGCACCTCAGGAGATGCGCCAATGTGTCTTAGCTTGTTAAACAATGTTAGGTGATGTACGCTATCAAATGCCTTCGATAAATCTAACAGTATAAGTGCAGTTACAGATTTCTGGTCAAATAGCTTCCAATATGATATCATCAACCAAAACGTTCAAAGTTTCCGAGGAAAGATATCCTCTGTTACCGCTTTGATGCGATGTCAGACATTCATTATGAAACAAAAATGTTGTAAATTGGCGTAAAACGACCTTCTCGCAAATTTTTGACACAACTATAAGTAAGGAAAGGGGACGATATTCTAATTACGCCAACACTGAACGCAGGTTCGCGTTACTTTTTCAGAAAGCTAGCGGTATCAATTTCCAGTGCGTAATACAAAATGACTGCATGAAAAACGGCAAACTTCGCAGGGCTATATTATCCGCATTTTACAACATTTTGCAATGAAACTTCGGAATATTACTAATTTTATGATGCCCTTTCAAGCTGTGATGAATTTTGTCTAGACTTGTCTAGATCAAAATTTTGTTCATTAGAGAATAGGTCCATTTGAATTACATATTTTTATTAAAGTCTCATGTCATTATTAAAGTCTCATGTTTCACTTCAATGCAACCTTCTGAGACCAGCTTCTATTAAAGCGATAAGTCCGGGATTTTTAAATGAAAACGGATGACTAAAAAATTTCATACAACAAGGGTCTACAACCAACGTGTGCATAGTTTCATTGTTTGTTATGAGAAAATGTGTCCCAGTTATAGGCTTAAAAGCCAATAGCTGGGACACATTTTCTCATCATAAACAATGAAACTATGCACACGTTGGTTGTAGACCCTTGTTGTATGAAATTTTTTAGTCATTCGTTTTCATTAGTTTTCTTCTGATATCATTATTCAATATAATATAATTATTCGTTTCTCTTTTAATAAGCAAATGGCGAAAAATCCATCACAAGGAAATCCAAACCAAGAAGGAACATGTGTACCTGCAGGTAATATTCGTAGTGATCGTTACCTCAAGCTAACCCTTAATTTTAACCTGCTAGCCTAATAACTTGTTTTAATTCTTGATTGAGTCGGTTTTCTTTCGTGTACGGCGGTGATTATTTTTAATAATCACTTTGAATATTGCTTGCATGAGTATTGCTTGCATGCATTTTGATTTTTTGAGATCCTTTATGAAAATCATGTATCATGAAAGTTTCCTGCCAGCCTGCCTAGCGACCTCTAAAAATGTAATAACAGCTTAGACTTAGTCACGGACGAATGGCGAAGTTACATGACTTAGCTACTTTAACCACTCGGTGAGGAGGATTCAGATATTACCTTATATGTCTTCGTGCTCAGAAAATAGTGTGGGAATTTAAAGAGACAATAATTAAAATTGGTTAATTGCAGGAGTGTCATGCAGATGGAGAGTAGGCGGGAAATCAATGACGACAAAAGGACTTATTTCCATAATATTCCATTTTATTTATATGTATGCAAACACGTAACTTTCGTACACCACAAACTGTCAAGCTGGCAACCTAAGAAGATCTCTAGTGGAAGTGTTGGTGACTATTCAAGTACTCATAACAAGTTAAGTATATCTGTATTTACAAATTGTTTCAAGTGACTGATTAGCACTTTAGTATCACATACAGCACATTTAATAAGCATTATTAAAGTCTCATGTCTCATTTCAATGCAACCTTTTGAGACCAGCTGCTATTAACGCGATAAGTCCGTGACCTATAGCTGGGACACATTTTCTCATCATAAACAATAAAACTATGCACACGTTGGTTGTAGACCCTTGTTGTATGAAATTTTTTAGTCATTCGTTTTCATTAGTTTTCTTCTGAAATCATTATTCAATTTTATATAATTATTCATTTCTTTTTTAGTAAGCAAATGGCGAAAAATCCAGCACAAGGAAATCCAAACCAAGAAGGAATATCTGTACCTGCAGGTAATATTCGTAGTGATCGTTACCTCAAGCTAATCCTTGATTTTAACCTGCTAGCCCTTAACTTGTTTTAATTTATGATTGAGTCGGTTTTCTTTCATGTACACTTTGAATATTAATTAGCTGAAAAGATGAAGGAAAAGAAGACGACACAGACAAAACTTTGTTGGAAAACCTCCTCAATCAAGATATAAATATGATATGCACTTCGAAAGTGGGAAAGAGAAAATCCCTCCTTCTCGGTGTTTATCCTATGCATAATATTATTTAAAACAGGTTAATTATTTGTCGAAAATTTCAAAAAGAAGCTCTAGCCTATATGAAAAAGAAAAAGTTAGAGCACAGTATAAATTAGATAGGATTTAGTTTAAAGTTTGAAAATAAACATGTATAAATCTCTCATAAATTATGTTTCACTTTCTGTGGACAAAGACTTCCAGTGAACTAACTAATTGTCTTCCAGGAATATCGCAAACGCTCACAGCATGGGTGCACATATTTCATGCTGTTATGTAAATGATATCATAATGTAATTATCACAAACACACAAAATTAGAGTAACACAGTCGTGAGAAAATGCCTATTTAAGAGGGCCTTTTGCTGCATCTTTGTCAAACAGTTTGCAATCTGCAATAACTATAAGGAAATAATTCTGTAAGACGTCAAATTTTAATTGCCGTTTCATCGTTTCGCTCCGGCAGCTTTCAGTAGAGATTTTTAGCAGTGTCATTCTGGCAACCTCATAATTCACTGATTTTTATTCTATTTTGCTCTTATGAAACATAATTTTGGAATAAACCACCATTGATGCAACAACCACGTTGACAGAAACACGAAAATTAATGTTACACGTACGGTAAGACAAAGAACACAAAACCTCGAAAATAGATAGCTGACTTTCGAACAAATTTGGGTCCGGTTTCTAGAGTAAGCTTATATATAGGCACTATAAAAAGTGACTAAAATTTAAGGTGAATTTATTTACAAACCTAAAGTCATTGGTCGGTTTTTAACGACACAGTCTGGCTCTGAACTACTTTTCCATCCTGGTATTATCTCTCTCACTACAATTTGGAAATGACTCTGAAATCCTTTCTTTTTAAGAAATGATGGAATGCGAAAGAAAACCACGAATAATTGTTCAGGGTGGTATGTATACTGATTTGCAATGTGGTGGTGCACAACTCCAAAACGAGTTTATGGACGCGCTGAAAGGAGCCGCGAGGAATGGATATGACGTTCTGAGAGTAAGATACTGTAAACTTTATAGAGTAATTAATTTCCTGGAGTAAATTTCCTGTAAATTTATTTATCGTGCCAGTGTAATTTAATATGTGAGCAAGCGATACCTAAACTCAGTAAACTGCTGAAATTTACCATTAGCACCTTCAGGACGTTGAAAGTATACTCTAGCTATATATACTGGGGGGGGGGTGGGGTGGGGGGTGTATACTGTTTAGATCTTCTTGTCCAACAAAAGGGCGTGCTTGCCAATCAATCCGCTATGGAGTTCGTCAACTTTTCTACCTTTACTTCTGATTACTTCAGCTGCTTTGCCCGATATACAGCTCAACACTAGGGAACATTTCCTCTAGTAGCATGCCTTTGGAAGGATAGAGAACAGTGTTGGAAACGTTTGGGTTTTTTTACAACAAGAAAATTAACTTCCATTGCACATGCTGAAGCGTAAACGAAATTTCCTATCTTTACGTGAAGATCTTTCAATTTTACTTTCCAATAGGGACGCCTATGCGACAACATGCATATTATGGCTTTGCTAAAGAAACGAGCGCAATTAAATATATGCGCCACTTTCTGATAATTCTAGTTAACAATGACAAGTATTTTGAAAAGCAGATTTTTGAAAATCTTCAACTTTTCTCAGCAACTGCGTTATTTTGCAGGTATATAAATGTTTCAGTACATCAATACCTTTTAACATATATATGCGCCTACACGGCCTGTTCATGCATTTATACAATTCTCATAATTTAGATGCATTTTTCTCTTTTCAATTAAGTGAATCATTGGAAAAGATAAGCATTCGTGTTAAAAGTAAATTTTGAAGAAAATAAAACCACAAGATGTTCTGCATGATAACAATGATATTATTAAAATATTGAACAAAATCTCGTTGGAAAAAATGTTAAACTCATCTACATCTTTTAATCCTCTGTGAATCACCTATAGGACAATGGTACAGCAGTTGATGCGGTGGAAAAAGCTATTCTTAGTTTGGAGGAAAATGGGCGTTTTAACGCAGGTCGTGGATCATATAAAACTGATAAAGGGGATGTGGAATGTGATGCAATGATTATGGATGGGCACAAAGTGGACGCAGGTAGTTTAATTTCATGTGGGAATTTCATTATGATTTTTCATTCTTTCAACACCAGGCATTTCAAATTTGGAAACGCATATATAGTAACGCGAAATATATACTTTCCATAGCAAAATTACCAAAAATAAAAAAGACTATATACACTGTTCAGAATCATGGAGTTGTCCAAATCTATAGAGCATAATAGTATATGGTTCCATTTTACTTGAAAGTCAAAAGACATCAATATAATCTTTACCAGATTGCTTTGATGGACAGAAAACAATAGAGAACGCAAGAGAACGACGTTTAACAGCGAAGACGCGGATTTAGACACCTACTGGAAAAACAAGAGAGATGCTTTTTTCGACCAATCAGCACGCTTGTTTACATTTTTGTTCTAAGCCAATCAGAAAAATTCAGAAAATCGTCGTTCAAAGCAGACGAAACAGACAAAACTTTGTTGGAAAACCTCCTCTATCTAGAATTAAATATATGATATACACCTCGAAAGTCGGGATGAGAAAATCCCTCCTTCTCGGTGTTCATCCTATACTTCATATTATTTAAAACAGGTTATTTGTCGAAAATTTCGAAAAGAAACTGCAGCCTATATTAAAAAGGAAAAGTTAAAGTACAGTATAAAATAGATAGGATTTAGTTTAAAGTTTGAAAATAAACATATGCATAAATCTCTCATAAACTATGTTTCACTTTCTGTAGACAGAAACTTCCAGTGAACAAATTAATTGTCTTCCAGGAATATCGAAAACAGTCACAGTATGGGTGCACATATTTCCTGTTGATATATGAGTGATATCATAATGTAATTATCACAAATTAAACCCACATAATTACAGTGATCGACACAGTCGTGAGAAAATGTCTATCTTAAGTGGACGCATGCGGGTAGTTTAATTTCATGTGGAAATTTAAATTATGATTTTTCATTATTTCAACATCAGGCATTGCAAATTTGGAAACGCAATCCATGTAGTAACACAAAAATATATACTTTTCCATAGCAAAATTACGAAAAATAAAAAAACAAACTATATACACTGTTGAGAATCATTGAGTTGTCCAAATCTATAAAGCATAATATTGCATGGTTCCATTTTACTTGAAAGTCAATAGACGTCAATATAATCTATATACCAGATTGCTTCAATGGACAGAAAACAATAGAGAACGCAAGAGAGCGACGTTTAACAGCGCAGATGCCTACTGGAAGAACAAAGGGATGTCTTTTTCGACCAATAAGTACATTTGTTTAGATTTTCGCTCTAAGCCAATCAGAATGCGTAAAACTCCTTTATCACATGAAATCAGTGTAAACATTTATATGGCGGTCACTTGAAAGCTTGACTGAAAGAGAATTTTTAAATTTTATGCATGAAATTTGATTAGATTGTTATTCTGCGATTTCGTTTGAAATTTCTTGTTCGGATTTTATAATTTATTGCGCTATTTCGAACTAGCATGTCTTCAAACATTGCTTTGGGCAAGCTTTAAACATCATATCCCTCGAATGTGTAGGCTCCAAATGGACTAACGCATTTAAAAGTCTTCCAAATCGAGCTTTTTTGCGAGGTTTTATTTTTCAAAAGATACTTGTACCTTCATATTTTCACGTTAAATTATTAATATCCTGAAAGGCCAGGTAAACGGCTATTCCGTGCAGGGACAATTTGACATGCATGACAATTTCTTGCTGAATATGGCAATCAATATGGCGCATACCAATACAGTGATTTTTTAAAATTTTGTTGAAATAGTTTATATTAGTCATAATAGACATGATACTTGATAATCAATTTATATGATCTCACTCGATTGCACAAGAGTAAAAACTTCGGAGGCCTTTCGGAGGTCGTCGGACATACTCGTCACTCAAACTTGTAAAATATGATGTAGTTTTTAACTGACAGGTAGAGAAGTGAGAGAACTTAAAGCGTAGATACTGTACCATGAATTAAACTGACCTGAAGTTCAGGCCCTAATTTTATATAGGGCCTGACACAAAACCTGTCTAGACCGTGGGACGCCCACATGTTATTTTTAGACACAGCATGTAATATCATTGACAAGTGTTGTAGATTTCGTTACTCAAAAAATTTATATTTTCATGAACATGTCCGCAGAGTGTGCATTTTGCTTTTTAATTCAACTTAAAAATTCAAGGTACTTTTATATAATTAAGAGTCAGTTTCTGTGCACGGCTTGACTGCCAAGCTATCTCAAGCTCTCAACTTGCTGGACGCGGATACACTCTAACGGGCTAATAACAGCAACATGAAATTCTCAATTGTACCACGAAGAAGACGATGTAGCTCAGAAAACAACGCCGGTAGGACCTGATATTAAAAATAAGAACAACAAATCTTTCGAATACATGACTAGTTTGGCTGTTCTTTCAACGTCGTGTGTCCAAAATTCGTCAAAGACTTTGATAAAGCCCTTTCAAAATACTGTTTGTTTGATTTATTTTCTGCCATAAAGCATAAAAGAAAAGAAATTAATTCGAAGAAATCGATAATGGAATTTGTTAAATTACGTGCGTTTGACCTTTATATTAATTGTCGCCTTGAGCCTTTAACCGAGCTATTTTTGAAACTGTTGTTTATGTGAACTTGCAACCAATCAAAATCTTTCATGATGCTGATCAACCAATCAGATTTCCCGTCCAGCAGATGGACTGGAATCCCACAGTTTAGTCAGATTTTGTGTCAGGCCCTATTCTGTGATTAGGGCCTGAACTTCAGGTTAGCATTAAACATACTCTTAATAAACCTAATATTATTATATTATTTTATTAGAATCTAGTTTTCCGTGAAATTGCTTTTTTAAGACACGTGAATCGTGAAACGGATTTTTTTTCGTTGTGAAACGTGACTTAGGTGTTTTTGTTATCTTTTTAAAGATTTCTCATACAAGTACTCTTATCTACCATTTGGCGATAACGTTGCCATTTTCTACAGCTTCATTGGAATATATTTCTCAGTATAAATCGTATATGATAATTTCTTTATTGCCTATATAATCCTCGTGCTAGGTCACGTTTCGTCTAATTGTGAAAACAGTTACGCTTGAGTTTTGGTCTTTCTCCTTCCATACTAGGTGGTGGTGTCAGAAAATTAGGTTTAGAAGTAGTTGGCATGCACTGGTAGTAGTGTCTCAACAGGTTCATTGGGTACTGCATGGTGGTGTAGTTTGATTGGGACTTCAACCTTTTCGTGAGTGGAATGATGAGTTGGAAAATCCATCTTATTTTTGAAAGTCAGAAAACGATTTAGCTGATCAGAATAAAGTTTGCGCGTTTCCATTGCAGAAAGTTGTGGTGCTTCCATGACCTCTTTCATTCGCTGTTCGGCATCATACATTGTATTTACAACAGGTGGTTGATGGTAGGATTTGGCTTGTATATACGTGTACATACTTTAACATAATACATCAGTCATCAGATTCTCCATGGGTTTAAAACGTATTACTACACGTTTCAAAAACGAAACCAAATTTGTTCTGCTACATATTTACTGAGTTCTTACGTCAGTATCTCCCAATTAAATTTCTAGGTGCAGTAACAGCAGCACGTTATATTCTTCATCCAGTTTCACTCGCCAGAAAAGTCATGGATGAATCTGACCATTGCACTTTGTGTGCAGATGGAGCATTGGAATTTGCAGTGAACCAAAACGTTCCCATTGAATTTGTGGAGGGCAGAGACTATTTCCCATGGGACGGCCCCAATCGTTTCAATGACAACCCAGGTGACACAGTAACAGCTATTGCCATGGATTGCAAGGGCAATTTGGCGTGCGCGGCATCGTCAGGTAACACTAATATACGGATTTTGGACGCGGACGTCAAAGACGACGCGAAATGGCGTCAAAATGGCGTGGCATATCCATACATAGGCAAAATACGCCATTTTCACGTCGTCTTTGACGTCCGCGTCCTTTATCTAAATCTGTCTGCTAAAGCCCAGAAAAGGCGAATAAGAGTTGACGAGAGTTTGCAGTAACGAATTTTCGCAGGGTCATTTCAAGCTGGAGCTTTAGACTAAGAAAATGAAGATTAGGTGCATGTGTGCGTGTTCCAACAATGTTTTAACTTGACAGTATTAGGAACAGCTAACCAAGATCATGTGTCTCATGTCAACTCTCGTGCACCCTCGTTTGATCGGGATTATAATATTATTATCTCATGAAATGCTTGCTCCTGCTATGTCTATAGTAGATACACGCCTGGTAGAGAGAACATACGGCCAAAACACTAAGAACAATAAAAATGAATTACGACAACGCGGTTAATGCTATATTTGGATTTTTTAAGGTGGTATACCAGGTAAATCTAAAGGTCGTGTCGGTGATGTACCGCAGATTGGCTGCGGAGGTTACGCAAATGAATGCGGAGCAGCAGCAGCATGTGGGCACGGAGAGTCGATAATAAGAATGACCGTGGCAAGAGAAGTGGTTTCCAACATGCAAAAACTGAATCAATCTGCTCAGGTTAGGTTAAAAAATTTCCTAATTAATTTATTTTCAAATCAGTCGGTTCAATTTAGCTTGCAGTTTTTAGATAACTGCATACCTGTATAAACACTTAGACAGGCGCTACCCTAAGAAAAAGTTTAGAACTGCCCATTTCAACAAGGAGAGAATATCATGAGGCCGAAAGCATAGTCGCTCGGAAAATTAAGAATTGCGCATGTCCAGAATGGTCATTTCGTGCATTTTCAGAATCAAATTTGATTTTTTTTTACCTTAAATATCTGTATGAATAATTAATTTATATCAATATCATTCTCATATAAAACTCCAAGAGTAACGTTTAGGAATGCCATTCTAAGTTTATTCTAAGTTTCCCATTTTACATTTAGAACTGCCCATTTTGGAAAATAGGAGGCATTTAGGATGATCCTTGCACTTAGAATAATAATGGTGCAACTATCAGTAACGACCGAATCAGTGATCGGAATATGTTCATTAATTTAACATTTCATTGTAGTTTGAGAAACCCAAACTATTCTGCATCATATTCTTTATAGTCGCTCATTGTTTCGTTTATATATTTTCATTTGTGAAGACAAAAGTCTAATTCTTGACAAAAGTCCGGCTATAGATTTGAACATAAGTTTAGCGTATTTCCTATCACCTAGTTCCATTCACATAGAAATGGTGTAAACACTACTTTCGACCGGCACTGAATTATAAGCACATTGTAAAATACAAATTTGTTTCGAAAACAGCCTTGTTAATAATTTCTTTCAAATTAATTAATGTCTCGATTTTATTAGTATTGTATATAATCTGAAATAGAATAATAACAACCCCTTCCTTTTTATGATATTCTATACTAGAAATACATGCATGCAGTACCCCTCGCCTTTCTTAACAAGGTAACTGGAGATTGGTAACCGGACTTTTTTTCGAGTAAAATGTGTTAAAGGGTAAAATGTCGGCCATATTGAAACGTCATTGTTACCATAGCCATGGAATGACGTCATTTTTGTGAGCAATTTTCAACTCTTAGAAGATTGCTCAATATATGTGGTACGATTTTTGTCTTCTAACAAGAAACCTCTCTTCAAAAAATTAAATCTAAATCACGATTTTGACATATTTCAAAAATTGTAAGGAGCCACCTTAAGAACGACTTAAACGCCGAATTAGGCGCTTTCTCGGTATATGAGCAACCGAAATAGGCATACAATACTTTACACATCGCATACCTTAATGTACCTTAGCATACCTTAGCCTACCTTAGGGAACCTTAGCCTACCTTAGACTACCTTAGGTACCTTAGACTACCTTAGGTACCTTAGACTACCTTAGGGTACCTTAGAGTACCTTAGCCTACCTTAGGGTACCTTAGACTACCTTAGCCTAACTTAGACTAGCTTAGGGTACCTTAGACTACCTTAGACTACCTTAGACTACCTTAGCCTACCTTAGCCTACCTTAGCCTACCTTAGGGAACCTTAGCCTACCTTAGACTACCTTAGCTACTTAGACTACCTTAGTACCTTAGCTACCTTAGCTACCTTAGGACCTTAGCCTACCTTAGCTACCTTAGAACTTGTACCTTAGACCTTAGCTACCTTAGTACCTTAGCTACCTTAGCCTACCTTAGACTACCTAGCTACCTTAGTACTTAGCTACCTTAGACTACCTTAGGTACCTTAGACTACCTTAGGGTACCTTAGAGTACCTTAGCCTACCTTAGGGTACCTTAGACTACCTTAGCCTAACTTAGATTAGCTTAGGGTACCTTAGAGGCTAAGGTAGGCTAAGGTAGGCTAAGGTACCCTAAGGTAGTCTAAGGTAGGCTAAGGTAGTCTAAGGTAAGCTAAGGTAGGCTAAGGTACCCTAAGGCCCCCCCCCCGGGGGGGG